TATAGCATTTTAGATGACCTTGGGTTTTCTGAAAATTCTGGGACTCTATTAAGCATATTAGCAGTATAAGTAATCACCCAATCAGAAACGTGGCATGTGATTTTTCACTTTCTAGATGTTTTTGGCAAAACTTCTATTGAATGCTGATTGAATAATAAGCTTCTCAGCGTTTCCAGAGCCTCTTTTGGCTTTTCTCGGGGAATACTCTGGATCTTATCCACAAGGGCGATAACATGACTATTCTGAGTAGAGTACAGACATATAACTAAAAGCTACGTTTGTTATGCAAAGATTGAAATTACATTCTATCAACTCATTTTAAGAAGAAAAAGAAATTTGAGAGCCCGGTTATTGCTTTTCCAAGAACTATTGTGTCTGGCAGGAGTACAGCAAAGAGGTAAGCTGAAAACAACCTCGATGGAGTTTTAGAGAATTCTTAACCAGTCAAAAAACAGCTTTGTAAATGGATAATTTTCGGCAAAGAAAACAATGGTGTTACAAAGTGTAAACATATTTACACAATCACTTTCATCCTATTGTGACAAAAACTATTTTTTGTTGACATTTTAAACGTTCTGAGCATTATGCAAAGGTACTCACACTTCTTATTATGCGTGGTACTTGAATATTATCACACTCTGGATTTTGATTGGCCTGTCAGCATACCATACGTTCATCGTGTATTTATTAGTGCTGAGTTGCATAATATGACATGAAAGAATAGTTTATACATTACTTTTAAAGGAATAAGTGAATCACTCTGCTAGAAAGTATTAAACAATTAATATTCTTCACATTTTACATTAAACATACTGCTAGATTTCTCTAAATTTCGGTGTAAAAGGGTTCGATTTGATTGGATCGAACTCAACGATACACTTGTTTGGTGGATGATCGAAGTTATTCAATAAGAAGATCTAAGTTAAGCTGTTTGCTTGTCATTTACTAAGATAATGTATAGATGACCTAACTGCCAGTAATAGATTTGGTATTCGAATCGAAAACGTCCGTTACCAGGCTTAAGTATATCCCTGAGAGGTCATTTCAATGATACCACAAGTAGAGCTGTTTAATGTGATTTCTTTTTTTAGATGTATTATGACTCTTCGGGTTACAACTAACTTTTATCAATGATATGCTATGACCTTGTATTTTGTCGGGGACCCTAATTCACTGAGTAACAAACTTTATAAACGAATGTTCGTTGAAGTGGTATTTTGGTGAATGGTTAAATTTATATGTTAAATTCGAAATAGAGTGATCTCAGTAGAACATGACAGTTGCTTCGTCCCAGTGTAGGACTCCTCAACAGTGGGCATCTGCGACCTCATCGGAAATAGAGACCAGGACTTTAACGTCTTGAAATGAACCATCATAAAATACACTCAGTTGTCGTCCAAATAGAATCAGTCTGATATAAATACAACTTACGAAATATTTACTGGATTTAAAGGACTTCTGGTTTGTATTTCAGGTCAAATACTTATAAAAGTACCCAGATATTCATCAGTTTATATAACAAACAGCTTGAAGAAAGTTGATCGGATTATTATCTTAATAGGCAGAGGCCCAGCTGAACATCTGACTAATCGTTAGTAATTTTCATTTTTCTAGTCCCAAAAAACAATGAGTGACTCTCAAGTCTATTCATCACTAAATAACATAATTACGAAAATCAGTATTTGTAGTCATTAGTGCTCATTGATTACTTATCATTCACTATTTCTTAAATCCATCTTAAGTTTAGTGTTATTCTGAAATGCAATTCCGGTAAAGCAGTTTTTAATTGGTTAGTGAAACGTACTACTTTATTTTTATACGTTATGGAAATTCTAAACTATTCCTAGTTTACATATGAAACGTGTTGTCGCCTATATTACTGATTAATTTTCAGTCAGTTGGCGCACTTCTGAGGAGTCTCACATTAAGACGAAACGGCCGTCCAGTGCTTCCAAGATTTCAATAGTGATGTAATATTGATCGGTTTATGATTTCAATAAAACCCTATTTGAATTAGACTCAGAAAAATATCAAAACGCTATTAATTCCCTCGAGATCAATCCGTGAAAAACAAAGTGTAAGTCAAACAAGTTTTAAAGCTATAAAACATACTGTAGAATATTTTAGGACACTGACTCTTTCAGATTATCCTGTAGTATTCATCATGTTAGATGGAAGCAATAAGTTTTAGTTGACCGATTAGATTTTGAATCGCTACACGTTCAAATGGTCAAAATGTCTGTAACACCTGTCAACTTATCTTTGATAGCAAAATGTCATCTTGACTAATATAAATTTTATAAAAAAAACGGTGAGACTGTGGTGTGCACTATTGATGTCGACAGATATAAGTAATATGTATCACCAATGAAAAGTAGAATACCTGACTGCAGAAGGTTGAGAAAACCGAAGAGAAGAGAACGAAAATAGAGAGTGATTGATATGAAGACAAAGGAACAAAAAAGTCAGAGACAGTTGATTAATATTTCACAAATGAAGTATTTACTGTATGGTTCTCAGATTCTATCAAGGTCTTCTGTAATGTTATATTCAAATACGTTTGATTGTCCTCGCCTGTGTTCTCGCTACCTCATAACGATAATTATTATCAGAATAAATTTAAATTTTTTATCAAACATTACTCTGTAATTATTTACCGTGAGACTATAATTTGAAGATGACCTTTGAGCGATGTCGAAGTAACCTTGAAAACGTCCACCTACTAACTAAGACTAAATGAGGGTTATAAACCATTGTGAGGAATTAGAATGATGATTTACAGTTGATTGTTAGGGTTAGGAATTAGATTTAAGGTTTTCATCACGAACTGATGTTAGATAAAAGGCCGAAACGCTATTTAGCCAAGTGAATGAATTTCGCGCTAAAATTCATGACCTAGTATCTTATATCTGATTGATTTGTCCATAAATCAGTCTCCTCGATCAAATCGCCAAAAGTACCACAACGACAAAATTAAATCTACATTCTAAGTCATTTTCTCTTTGGATTTGATTTAGATTATTTCAAATCAGTTAAGTAAAAATATCGAGTAAAGATTATAATTAGGGGTTTGAAAAATGGGTTTCCCTAATTTATAACAACTAATGACAAATGAGTTACACTAGTTGCTACAAGATGGAATGTCGACAAAATTATTGAAGATATAATCAATCATAATCTTCTACTGATAGTTTGAAATAATGTTTTTAATTCAAACAGTTGAGATCATGAGTCAATTGAAGCTAGACCACCATGGAAAACCTAGAAGCACTAGATGGCCGTTTCGTCTTAGTGTGGGACTCCTCAGTGGCAGTACGCGTCCACTACCCCGCCTCGTGGGATTCGAACCCAGGACCCATCAGCCTCGCGCGTGAGCGCTTAACCACTAGACCACTGAACCGGCAGGCATCTAATGGTATTAATGTCTAACTACAACTAGTCCACAAAATTGAGCGACACATCTACCATTGTCATCAGTAAGTTATTATCTCACAACTGACCCGGTTGAACTGCACTGGTCACTGCTTCTCACTAGAACTCCAGAATATACACCTTAAAGCCAGTCACTATTACTAATGTTTTTAAATAGAATTCGGAATTTAAAAAAATACCTCCACCTCAAATATTCAATTTCTGATCATTATTTAAAGGTGAAATATTCTTATATACAAGTGATAACAAGGTAAACAGATTGAGAATGTTGTGGCGATTATTTAGATTCAGTCAGCTGAAGTGGCTGAGAATAACTGTTGGAAGAAGAAAGAATAATCGGAATAGTTAAGGCTTGATAATGTTAGAATAACAAGTTTAATACATACAAATCAACTTGATGAAGTCATAACACATAATAATGATCAAATAATTATTCATAATTAATACCCAAGACTAATTTAAAGTTTCAGTTAACATTAAGTATCCAAATAGCTAGGATAAACTAAAATATCGTTTGTCTAATTATTTCATAATGAAAATTAGGGTATAAAATTATATATTAATGTATTCACACTATAATCCTGGTTCATTTTTTTCAAACAACAATCAAAATAAACTAATTCACAACCACAAAAGATACAATTATCATATAGAATTAACCTCTACCACTATGGGATTTGAATCGACAACTGCATTTCTATGCTGATGTGGTACGACAACTCGAACTGATGTACGTACGTACGAAGTTCTATGTTGTTACTGAATGACTGAGAGATTATAGCAAAAAAAAAGAAATAGCCAAATTAACCTACAACATTCAAAATGTTGAAACGTTAAACTTTATTTAAGATTAACTTCAATATTGTTAAACAATTTTTAGTCAATTTAGTTTTTCATAGATTTATTCCCAAAATTTATTACGGATCACATGCATGGATTTAAATACTTATTCACCAAGTCCTTTTTCACTGAAATTACTTGTTGTTTTGTTCCTTACTATGAAGGCAACCAAAACAAACCGTCTTTATACCTAATAAACAATTTACTTGCCTTTTTCAAAAACAACCAAACAATCATTATTTAGATTAGGCAATTTTATGAGAATTTCATCCAAGTTTCAAGATATTTTTACACAACATAAATGTATGAGAACTATTCAACTTTTGATACATACATAACTGCTACATGTGAAATCAAACTTAGGATATAAACAGAATGGGTTTTGTGGAGATTTTAGAAATTTCACAGATTGAAATCATGAGTCAGTTGAAGCTAGACCACCATTGAAAACCTGGAAGCACTGGACGGCCGTTTCGTCCTAATATGGGACTCCTCAGCAGGATATAAAGGTTTCATAATGAGTAATATATATTAAGATCATGAATAACCACTTATGAAGTGTCTCATAATAGAATGAAAAAGAAGAAAAAACTATTTAATGTTTCTAAGTTTTCCATGATGATCTTGTCTCAATTAAATCATCATCTCAACTATTTAAATCATTAATAAAATATCCACTAAATAAAACCCCTTATTCTATACAATTAATCAATGTAAATTAAACTTACGGTGATACAGTTTCTTCTGGCATTTTGTCAATGAATTAAACGTTTGTTTATTTATCGTAATTAATACATTAAAATATGTTCCGTTGATGAATTCAAATAATAATGAAAACTAAATGTGAATTTATTGTTTGCGATTTGAAAAACTTTTTTCTTTGTTGTTGTTGTTGTTGTTGTTGGTGTTGGTGGTGGTGATGGTGGTGGTGTCGGCTGTGGTGTTTTTGTTGCTGAGGGAAACACACTAATGTAAATCTATTAAGTTTATTATAAAATTATAAAAATTTACATTAAATTTTCGGATAATTTTAAATCACTTAACTCAATGTAAAATATAAAATTTCATTTATCATTTGCCCAGCCCAATTTTAATCAATACAACCAATCAAAATAAACTATTTATTTGAAAGGTATGAATATTTTTATTAGAACTAATATTAGAATGAAGAGAGTTAATCGATACAATGGGTCATATCTTTGAGTTGTTGTTCTTTCTGTATGTGTTTTTTGTTGCTGTTGTTGTTGTTGAAGTTTATCACTCTTTCATTCTTATAGTAACAGTCTCTCGTTTTGTAATCATCTATAAAACTAATCAATAAAATTTTTTTCCTTCTCTCTCTCTCTCTCTCCCTATATATATATATACATGTTTTTACGTCTATCCTGTGAATGAATTCAACTCATAGGGGAAATTTCTATTAATGATTGAGTGGGAGGCTTATTCAATATGATAACATATCTGCCCTGATTATTTTGATTAGCTGACAGGATCAGTTTTCTTTTAATAAAAAAAAGAATGTCTTTAATAGTTGATTTTATGAGTTGATTAAAGTTAGACTACTATTGGAAAGCTTGAAGAAATAGATAGGCGTTTTTTCCTAGTATGAGATTGGTGAGCTACGCGTAACCACGATCCTCCATACTGAATTCGAACCTAGGACATTCAGTTTCGCGTGAGAATGTTCAACCTGAGCCGGTATCCAACGGTGTTAATGTTTAACTTCAATCGATCCACGATATTGTGCCACCATTCACTATTGTCTTCATTGAGTAATTGCTTCGTAACAGACATGGTTGAACTATATTGGTCACTGATTCTTACTAGAACTCCAGGAAATACTTCTTGAATACAGTCATCAATGAGCATCATGGTTTTCTATGGAGGTCAAGCTTTAATCGACTCATGAATTCAAATATTAAATTACTAAAATCTCCACAAAACCTTCGACCCGATAAAAATGTCTCACTGAAGACAATGGTGTACGATGGCGCAACTTCGTGGATTGGTTGAAGCTAGACATTAACACCGTTGGATGCCGGCCCAGTGATCTAACGGTTAAGCGCTCGCGCGCGAGACTGATAGGACCAGGGGTTCGAATCTCGCGGGCGGGGGCAAGATCTTGGATGCGGACTGCTGAGGAGTCCCATACTGGGACAAAACGGCCATCCAGTGCTCCCAGGTTTTCCATGGTGATCATGATTTCAACTATTGAAAAATGTCTTTCCTAAGATAATAAGATAAGAAATCTACTACTGTTAACATCAAAATAAGTATTATAATAAAAATAAAAGAAGATTCAGTGAAGAAAATTTTCTTTTCGACGAAATCATTTATTTAAGTTGTACATTCGTATTTATAGTTGGATGGTAAATATATATGTCTATAGAAGGATATCTGTCAAGTGAACAATTATCTTTTTATAATTCTGATCCATAAATTATTTTCATTCTTCTGTTTTTCGCTTTATCCCCCTCTCCTAATCATTATGCAACCTTATTTAGTATTTGAAGTCGCGAATCACTTTATAATCCAATCTTTTCTATCCTTCTATAGACATACATTAGCAATACAACTATAAATACGAGTGTACAACTTAAGCAGATGATTTCATCGAAAAGAAAATCCTCTTCACTGAATTCTCCTTATTTTGATTCAGTGACATAATGGGTAATCTTAAGCATTTAAATACAGTAATGTTTTGCTAATATGACTGCTGATAATTGATATTATTAAAACAACAAGTGTATTTTTAATGGAACCAAAAACGAATTCATTGTGTTTTCTAGTTCATGCATGCATTGAATATTTAGTCTATTTGTTTAGTCAAGATGGTGGTTGGGGGTAGTCAACGGGAAACCCTGAACCCGGATTTCGTGGTACTTGGCACTCGTCAGCAAAGTGTACCTGTAATCTTGAGGGAACTGGTGCTCTCTGATGGATTCGATCCCCTATCACCCAGCTCCACAGTCAGACGCAACTGACCCCCTTTGGGACTGAAATGTATTCACAATTGATTGATCACTGGGTGGTGATCAATGTAATGTGTGTCAAGTCCTTCTTAGTGCACCAGTTCCCTCAAGAGTACAAGCTAACCTTACTGACGACTGCCAAGTAGCACGAAACCCGGGTCCAGGGTTTCCTGTTGACTACCTCCAACCACTATCTTATTTCAACATAGTGCACGTAGTGTTTAGTCACTTAGACTGGTGGCCACATTGCAACTTGATCGATAGCATGCGATCTGCACTAAGAAGGACTTGATGCACATGACATTGATCATCACCCAGTGACCAATCAATTGAATTTTATTTGTTTATCTGACAATAGATGAAAGTCACATTTAACCTTTCAATTAACATCGACGATTATATTTTTTATTTCGTCAAGTTAGGTTAGTAAAACTAACGATAAGTAGAAGTAGCATTTATCCCAACAGTTACATTTCAAAGGGCAATTTTTTGAGGTGAATACCTGTAACTATATCGTAAAGGATGTAACCACTGATGGAAGATACCCAGTCAGGAGAAACCTCGATGATAAAAGAGTGTAATAATTTTACTCGTCACTCGTTGTTTTTTTTGATGATTTTTATGTACACAAGCTGAAGAGCAGTGACTAGTTTATATAGGGAAATACCACGGCAAATTAATCTCTTCATAATTTAAGATATCATCAGCTCATTAGTCATTACTTGCGTTACTGCGAGAGTATCCATGATTTTTTAGAATTGTCCATATTTCTAGCGATCAAGCCTATTTACCTCCCGTGTCTACAGTTTTCAAATCAACTATATGCTTATCACTATATTCTAAAATCTTCTTCATAGAAATAAGTATTATATCTCTGACTTTAAGTATATCATCTTTTAAAGCTATCTAACCTAACTAAACTAACCTATTTATGTTGTCATTGCTTATGGGTATACCCAAGATGTTAGGAATAATAATCGAGGTTGTGCTCATCCCCTTAAATCTAAAGAAGGTTAGCTAAGCTAGTTACAGATAACTCAGTACAGTTCTTGTTTTCCTTATTTTTATTCTGTAAAACTTATCCGATTCAATTCACTTGGTATTGTTTACTTGAAGCTTCCTAATGATGTTTGGGAATGTCATTGATCAGTCTGTTATCGGCATATGTGCATACTGTGCGTACTGCCTTGATATTGCCTTAGTTTACAAGCATTTTAGGCAAAGATAGATAGTGGCTAGCAGTAAATCCAGGACGCGCGTTTCGTCCTACCTGGGACTCGTCAGCTGGATGTGCCTGCATCTCAGAGTTGGTGTTCAATCTGAGACTGTGTTCGGTCTCGATTACCTTGTAGATTTACTTTGATCTACAGACATTCTACTAGAAATGCGAACACGATCCTGGTGACCCCAGAGTCTATGTGAAGGCTATAGTCAGAACAAGGACAACTTGAGTTTAAATTTATCTGTTCCTAGACGTAAACACAATTCGATGAGTACAATAATTAATAATTTTCTCAAATCTCCTGGATTCAGCGAGTGACTAATAGTGTGGTTAGATGCAGTGTATTAGGGATAGATGGTAAATCAGTTGATGAGGTTGTAAATTTCCACCGACTCAGATCGTTGGGCCACGTGTTACGTATTCCTGAATACCGATTACCACGACGCGCAATGCTGCTGACTAGTGTTGGACACGGTTGGAAGAAAGTTAGGGACTGCCAAACCAAAACGTGGCATCAGTCTTTGAAGTCACTAACTTATAGTCTGAGTCATGTTGGTAGATGCAGACTACTTGGTTGGGGTCCACGTGACTATCGTAACCAGTGGTTGGAGACTCTTGGTGACATGGCTCAGAATCGACCACAAAGGCGTGGGTGTATACACTCTCTGTCTTCCGCTAAACTGTAGGATTAAAGTTGCTTTATATCTTTCTTTCTACGAATTGATTCTTTCTTCCTGTATTATATCATTATATAAAATCTTTCTTTCATATATTACTACCATTGAAGTAACTATTTCTATAAATTTGGTGTTCACGGGATTCCCCACAACATATAAAATCGACTGTAGAAGCCACTATTTATACAAGACATCTTAGGTATCACAGCCAAATCACGGTCTTTAACAATGGTTGTAGCTAACAAGCACACGAAATTTCTATAATCTATATAATCCAAAACAAATGATACACTACCGAAAACAAGATCAATATCATCTGCATGCCATAAAAATTTAGAGAACACACAGTGTTAGTTTTCTATCTTTGTCTGTGTGAACATTAAAAGCTGCCATAACCCAACCCATCACATATATTTACCTATATTTATGCATGTGGAAAACTATGGACAGCAATATCAGCTAAGAAAACGTTATAAAGTAGTAAACAGAGACAACATAGAAACCATACAGAAACCTAACACTTAATGGTCAATGGACATCGAAAAACACCTAATCTATTGGTTAATCAAAACAATGATAATGAACTATAAAGTCTGATTTCAGATCCTGGAACAAAACCATCAAAATAAATGCGGGTTGTGACAATACGCTTATACGTAATACTAAGTCAAAATCCCTATTAACAGAATAAACTGTTAGTTACTGATAGAGAAATTATAAAAGCTCTTTTCTCCTAAGTTTGTATTGACGATATTGTCTAGAAAGACAAATTAAAACTACAAAATCTGATAACTCAACCCATTGAATAAAATATCGTCTTGTTTTGCTAATGAGGTGTGGCAACTTGAACCGATGTACATATGTACCTGGTTCTGCGTTGTTGCTGACTAACTGACTGATAGTTAAACGAATTATAGTCATTTAGTGGAATATAGAAACATACCGACCAGTATTGCGTGTCCTATTTAAATGAATAAAAGTCATGAGTCACACTAATATAATAGGATAATAATGTCCTTCAATTGGCAAGTCACATACTTGAGGGGTAGTCTACGGACACATCAGACCAGATTGACGCGGTGGGAGCTAAAGCAAAGATTTGATTGATTAGTTATAGACATAACTAACATACTCCTTAATGACTATTATCATGTGCTTATTGGTGACTAACTTAAGAGGAAGATTCCTGAGTTCTAACCAGAAACGTTGACCAGCATAGGCAACCATGTGAGGTGTGAGAAAGGTACCTACCGAACACAATGAAAGATATTCACGTAATATGGTGAATTGATTGATATTAACA